CCCCCCCCCCCTCCATCACCATCATCTTTGGATAGGGTTAGGAGATGGACTCTGTCCGACGCAGCGCAGTGGCTGTGGCCAAGTGGCCGGTGGCGACGGCGGCCGGAGTGGCGGCGACGACGATGAGAGAGGCAAGGAAGAGGGCACGGCGGCTGGGGCGACGGGAACAGGTCGTACTGGCCATAGCCTTTGCGCTACTGGTGGCGGTGCCTACGGGCTGGATGCTGTTTGTGGCTACCGGCGTCGACTGGGATCCGCTGCTGCCGGCGAGGTCGGTGATGGACCCGAGCGCCGTGGGCGAGGTCGCCGCTGCAGCTTGGGATGCCATCCCGATGGCTCACGTTGCCTACGACAAGGTCCGGCTGCTCATTCTCCGTGTCGGTCCCGGCGAAGAACAAGAAGAGAGAGTCGTACACGATTACGGCGACGTGCCGGGCCTCTCGCCGCTGCTGGCGCTGCTCGACATCAACGTCGGCGGCTGGGGCTCGTCGTTGATGAGTGCCGCCCACACCGCGGTCGGCGCCACTGCGGTTGCGGTCGGCGCCTGGCTCCGTGTTCTTGGCCTTGTGGCGCTCCCGCTGGTTCTGGGCTACGTGTACGTGGCGGCACACGGGTATGTACTTGCGCGGGTGGCATGGGAGAGCTACAGCGAGTCGATGGCCCACGCCTGGTGGTGGCTCTGGCACCAGGTGGCGTCGCAGCCGCCAGCCGCCATCGCGCTCGAGGTCGGCGTCGCTGTTGTCGCTGCCCTCCTCTGGGGTCTGGCGCGGTTCGTCCGTCGGACGCGAATCATCCCGCGCACCGTCCGGTATGTCAACAGCAAGGCCGCGACGGTGGCCCGCGGATGGCAGGCGGTGACCGCTGTGGTCGCCGCGCGATCGCGCACTCTTGCTGACTCGCTCCCGCATGTTGTATTCTGGGGCGGCGTAGCCGGCGGCGCGGTCTTTGCGCCCTCGGTTGCCTTTGGTCTCACCTCGTCGACGCTTGTTCGCTTTGTCACGCTCGCTCTCGTACCGGTCGGCCTCGCTGCCCGGCACCTTGTGCAAGTGCTCCACGCCGAGCGCGGGGCCGACCAGCAGCGCGGCGCGCCTGCTCGTAGCAGCGTGCTCGAATCGTGCAGCTGGCTTGAGTTCTGGGCAGTGTACGGTGGGGTGACTCTCGCGCTCGCCGTTCCGTTTGTCGAGTCGATGATTGTCGCCGCCATCGGCTACGAGCTCCTGCACTTGCTCCACGTCGCTGTTGTGCTGTGGGCACTGCTGCCGTGGACCAACGGGTCGGAGCTTGGGGCGCGGGCGCTGGTCCCGGTCCTTGCGGCGGTGACTCCCTTTGGGGCAGCTGCGAGCGCGCCGCTGCGGCGGCGGGCAAACAGCGGTGGCATGCTCGGCAAGCTCCGCGGACTGTGGGAGTCGCTCTCGGTGGCAACCGCGCTCAACGCGCTCACGTTTATGGGAGTGATGACGGCCGAGCGGGCGCGGATGACGGCCGAGCTCCTGGCGCAGGCCTCGTCGCTCCTGCTCATCACGCCGATATTTCTCTTCACGCCGGGCTTTATTACCTACTACGGCACGGTGCTGGTCGGGTACGCGGTTCCGCTGTATGCCACGCTCTCTGCTCTGGGGTTCTCCGGCGGCAACCGTGGTCGGGGCGGCTCGCCGGAGCGGCGGCGGCGGGCGGCGCCGCTGGCGACGACCCAGCGGTTCTGGGTCCTCTACTGGACGGTCTTTGTCGGCCTCGACTTTGTGCACCACGGCGTCTCGGCGTGGGGCGGCTCGTACATTCCGCTCTGGTACCATGTCAAGCTCGTGGCGCTGGTCTGGCTTCAGCTCGCCGGCGCATCATACGTCTTTACCACGGGCTACTCACGGCTACGCGAGCCGGTCCGCACGCTGTACGACAACCTGGTCGAGGCGACGCCGCTGCGGAACCCGCGCGCGGTTCTTGCGACCCCATCGACGTACATGATGCGACGGGTGTTTGGGACGCCCGAGCCGGCGCCCGTGGCGCGGCGCGACGAGGACAGTGCCTCTGCCGCCGGCGACGCCGATGGTGCAAACGACGCCGATGGTGCGAGCGACGCCGGTGGTGCGAGCGACGCTGATGGTGCCAGTGGCGAAGATGAGCAATCTGCGTCCGAGTGATAAAGCATCATTTAGCGGCGGCGGCGAGTCCGTGGAGTGCGCGGCGACGGAGGTGGGATGGCGGTGGTGATGTCCATGTCAGCGATGCCCTCAGTGGGCGGCTGGGTGTCGAAAGTAGGTGTAGTGCTGGCATCGTCGTCTGGCGCGGGCTCAGCGGCGGCAGCCGCAGCAGCGACAGGGTTCGTCGATTCCGCGGCGGCGTGGGGAGGTGCGTCAGTGGGGAGCTTGGGTGGTGCATACAGGCGGTTCTCGATGCACACAAAGCCCTCTTTCTCAAACAACCGCTGGATCTGGGCCACATACCGCTCAGCAGCCTGACGCGAGCCAAGAGTATAGTTGACGATGGCCGGGCGGTTGCGAGCCGAAGCGGGTCGCCAACAAACTGGAGGCGGGCGGTGTAGATGGACTCGGCGGTGTTGTAGATGGCGAGCGAGCACTGCTTACTGTTCTCCTTGACTGCAGCAAACTTGACACCGCGGTAGGGCCGGATGGCCTGGTCGAACGAGGGCGGCGCAGCCGAGTAGAGCGGCGACTTGCGGGTCGGCGGCGGGGCGGCAGCAAGGGCGGCAAGGGTGGTTGGCTTGGCCAGGCTCGCATTGTGAGGCGCCACGTGGAGTGGGCTCATCGGGTCGCCCTGCAACGAGGTAATGGGCTTGCCGTGCCGCCGCTGCTCGGTGAGGAACGAGAGGAGGTTGAACTTGGTGGCGGTATGGGTGATGACATCGGCAAGTGTCTTGAACAAGTCGTACTTGGCAATGAGGACGTCGATCGAGGGGTCAGGGCGGACGGTGAACTTGTGTGTGTTGTACGCCACGCAGTTGGCAACCTGGGCCACCCGGAGCGACGGATCGAGACAGACCGGCGGGTGGAGGGCATGGAGGAGGCGCTTCTCCAGCAAAATGCGCTCGTCGCGGGTCCAGCCACCGCCAAACTGTTCGACGTGAATGCGCTCAAGGTCGTACATCAGCGACTCGTAGTTGGGCTCGAGCAGGACCTTGTGGACTGCGTACGGCTCGCCGGCCAGTAGAGTCGACACGTCTGACGCCGACGGTGCATCTGGCAGCTGCTTGTGGCGAAAGTCGCGGATTTCGACAACCAGCGAGCCCGAGTAGTAGTGCAGCGGGATCTGGTCCTCCAGCAGCTCGACAAGGAACGGCTGCAGCTGCTGCGCATCGAGCGAGGCAAGCAACTCGGACGCCGTCGTCGAGTACGGGTGCAGCGCAGTTGGCATCGAGCCGAACGCGTAGCCAACGTTGGCAAGGACCACAATGAGCGACGCCTTGGTCTTGACTGAATCCAGCGCGTACGCGCCCGACCGGAACCGCCGCCACAGACCGCGCGGAAAGGCCATGCGGGCATCAGATACGCGTGGACCACATGCTCGCTGATGGAGAGATGCGTTGTGCGCCGCTTCGACTTGCCCTTTTGCACCAGCACCGACGACATCGACGTCGGCGGCACGCCCGTCAGCACCACCGCATCGTCAGCAGCCTGCACAAACTCGACCAGCTCGTCCGGCCCCAGCAGCTGAGCGTCGAGCTTGCGCTTGAGCGGGAGGCTCTCCACCAGGGGAACCAGCGCCGCTAGGTCGTCGACAACCTTGGGTACACCAGCGCCGGTGCCACCTCCGGAGAATGCCACCGCCTCGGCATGGCTCTCGCACGGCTGGCGCCGCTGCTGGGCGAGGCTGGCGAGCTGGGCAATGACCTCGGGGTAGCTCTTTCCAGGCGTGGCTGCCGGCACAGTGTCAGCCACCACAGCACCGGTCGACGTGTCCTCGTCTTGGGTCCGCTTCCTTCGTTTGCGGCCAGCCATGAGGAGAGTTGTATGTAGGTATGTGTGTGTGTATGTGTGTGTGTGTGTGAGCGAGAGAGAGGGAGAGAGTGTGTAGCTCGTCGGAGGGTGTGGGCGGTGGTGGTGTCATTTTTCGCGGGCAGCCGCACAACTCGGCGCTGGGTCTGGAGTGTCCCGAGTGTGGCGGGGGAGGGGGGGGCGATCGGGGTGGAAGTGAGTATCGATTTACGTATGCGCGGAACAAGGAGACTTGTAGGCTGTAATGTAGTTGTGTAGCTTGTGCTTGGGATGCGTTCGCTACCGGCCCATGGATGCTTCGGCGGCGAGTTCGCGGAGGATGGAGGCCGGAGGGCGTCGGCCGACGCAGTTGCCGATCTCTTTGACGGGAACCACCTCGGAGACGGCCCACTTGAAATCAAAGGGCCCACCGAGGGTGGCGGTTGCGTCTTCGTGAACGGACATGCACGACCACCAAAGGCGACCCCCGAGAGCTGCAGCGCGATCCTCGGTGATGCGCAGCGAGTCGAGGGCCGGCTTGCGCTTGACAGACTTCAGTCGCTTGGACTCAGCCTGCTTCTCAGACTTCAAGTCACGAAGAGTCCGGGCCTTGCGGCTGGCATCGGCGGCCGAGAACTGTATGTGGCGCTCCCACATGGCGAGCCATGCGTTGGTTGCGCCGTGCAGCTTCTTAGACCGCCGCGAGAGCATCTTGTCCTTCTTGCGAACCATCCTTGCCGAGGTGCACGCCAGCCGGAGCATCATACCGAGGACAAGCGCCTCCTTCTTCTCGCTGGTGCCGGTCCCGAGCTCGGCGTTGGCGGCCATGGCAAGCATGATCAGACGGGACTCGAGATCCGAGCGTGAGAGTGGGCCCGACTTGCGGGCAATGAGAAAGGCGGCCTGCTCGTCGCCGAGATCCGACATGATGGCCTCGGCGAGGAGCTCAACGCCCGCCCACTTGTCGCTCACCCGCGCAAAGGCCTGCAGCTTCTCCCCATGGCCATGACCTTGAAGAGCGCAAAGGCGGCGTTTCCGGAGCCCGCATCCAGCGGCCGGCCAAGTTCGGGCGGCTCGGCGGCAAAGACAACCATACGCGAGTCGACCCGCGACACATTCATCCGCACCACCTCGAGCTCACCGGCGTTGGCGGTCCGATGGATCTGAAACATCTCAGCAGGGTGGGCCATGACCAGCGCCGAGTGGATCTTCGCCACTGCAGCCGCCATCGCCTTTTCGGTCGGCTTGACTGCAATGGCCGCTACCGCTGACGAGATGAGCTCCATGTGCGCGGTCTCTTCCGGCTTGCGCCGCGGCTCTACACCAGCGGGCGTGCGGGCTATGGCGGTCATCATGGCGGCCCAAGTTGAGACTGCAAGAGTCTCAGCGTCTCCGGCGTCGTTTGGCACGCCACACAGCTGGTACGTCCGCTGCTTGGGCGCCTTGGGCGACTTGACGGTGAACGACTCGCCGACCGGCCCGTCGGCGATGTACTCGCCGACAACAGCGTGGACCAGCGAGAGGACCAGGTCCGGTGACTGGTCACGCTGCGACTTGTAGAAGAGAACAGTAAAGCCACGAACAGTCACAAACCGCGGCACCGGCTTGGACTTGGAGCCGAACTCGCGGATGCCGAGCCAGCCGCACGCATCGTACGGATCCGACGCCGCAATCTTGTCGCACGCGTCGACAACGTCGAGTGCACCATCAGAGCCAGGCAAGACACCGCGCGGGCCTGAGCCGCGAGCACCAGCAGGAAGGAACACCTCCATCGCAGCGAACCAGCCGTTGATGTCGTCGGGAGAATTACCAGAAATAAAGACCGAGTCGTCACCGGCGACAAGGTGGAACTCGGTGGCCACAGCGCCGCGGTCGAGCTGCTTCATGGCGCGCAAGTCCAGCTCGCCCTTGGGCTTTCCCAGCGTGGACTTGGCAGCAGCCGACGGCTTGTAAAAAGCGAGCGTCCTGCCGCGGAGAACAAAGTACCACTCCTTGGCTTTTTTGTGCTTGCGGTGGCCTTCCATGGTGAGCATGCCCTTGAGAACGACGCTGCCGGAAGCGCTTCCGCCGTCGGCGTCGGCACCGGCATCGGTGTCGTCGTCAGATTCGGCGCCGACCGTCGGCGGAAAGTTGCGCGATGGTCGAAAGGCGAGCAGATGGCCAGCAAGCAGTGATGCGTCGAGCACCCGATCGCGCTCTTTCTTGGGCGCAGCACGTGGGTCCGAGGTGAACACATACAACGGCGTCACGTCGAGAGCTTCATGGGCAAGCGAGTCCGAGTCAAGTGGCTCGCAGGTGACCACGGCCTGGGCCGCGCCGTCATCGTCCTGTCGCGAGGTGACGGACCAGCCGATGCGAGTGCCCGAGAGATCCAGGACGGCAACAGGCATGTCCTTCTCGCTCGAGCCCTTGTACAGTGCAAGGAGCTGTGACTCGGCGATGCGGAGGACGCAAAACCGCTTGTTGCCGCGCTTGCCGGCCTTGTTGGAGACATAAAGCCAGCCGCTCAGCTCGCCGGGGTGGGGCGCCGGAACCGCATGCGCGACCGCGCTTTGCTCGGCGGTGTTCGACTGGAGGCCAACGTAGTCATTGATCGAATTGAAGTTGACGCGTGGGCGGTCAAACTCGACGTACGCCGGGTGGACGGCAATGCGCTGGGCCGGCTGGGCTACGCCGGCAGTCCCGCCGACGACCAGCAGGCGGGCCGCAAAGAACTTAAAGGCGTTGACTAGGTCCTGATACGAGATAATGTCGCTCATAGTGTGGAGTACATCGCCCTTGGTGGTGGCGAACGGGGTGTTGATGACAATGACCGGCCGGTCGGCGAAAAGCGCACCGAGCTGGCGGGCCGGGGTCAGCGTGTTGGTGCGGTGGTAGAAGGCAAATGACTCGTAGAGCGAGACGTTCCAGACGGCGAGCGCATTGCCGCCGTAGGTCGCGTTCACCAGTCGCTGCCAGCCACGGACTACGGCTGACGGCGTCGCACCATGGATCACCATCAGGGCGCGGGTCTCGTTCTCGTCAAAGGCAAACCGCTCGGCGAGCTGGACCGAGAACTGGCGGTACTGGATGGGGACAGTGGTGGCAAAGTCGTCGATGGCGCCAAGCTCCAGCATGACCTGCAGGTGTGCACGTGCATAGGTAGCGACGTCGGGACCGGTAAACTCGACCGAGGCCGCAATAGTGAGCGCCTCGCCGGGCTCGATGTGGGTAACGTCAAAGACTACAACGCCCGGTATGCCAGCCGGCGGCACGGTGACCCGCCCAGCGAGCGCAGGGTTCTCGGCAAGGAAGCCAGAGGCGCCGTCTACCATGGGGGTGATGGTGATATCGTCCGGGTTGGTGACCGCGTCGTCGTCGTCTGTCACATCGGTCCGGAGCGAGAGTACGACCCGGATTGGCCGCTTGCTCTCAGAGGAGAAGCCGAGAGAGCGGATGCTTTTGCTGCACAGCTGGAGAGCCAGAACGCCGGCTTCGCCGCGCGAGATTGCCGCCGCTCCGCGGACTGGCGTGATTTCAACCGGGTACTCGACGACAAGCTTCTGCCGCTGGTGGGAGAGTGTGGGCACGTGCATGCCAGAGCGAGCCATGAAGCAGAGCGGGGCGTAGTCGGTGATCTCGCGGAATGCTTCACCGTACTTGGGCCCAGCGGAGTTCGGCGCAACCTTCAGACGGAGTGTGACAGGGGCAGAAGTGCCGACGTCCATGCCGCGAGGAAGTGTTGCCACTGATCCAGCCTCCGGATTGTCCAGCGCAGTGATCCACGGTGAGTTGCCGGTCCGAACCGAGACGCATGCGTCGATGGCGACAGGTGTCGGCATGCCACCGCACGACGTGACGCTGTGGGTGAGGCTGAAGACAGCGCCGGGCTCGAGAACGCCGTACCCGGCCTCGGTGACGACATGGAGCGGCTGGTCCATGCGGAGGTCAAACGGCGCGGCGTAGATGCGGTTGCCTGGCTGGAGCACAATCTGGACAGGTGCGTCGAGACCAGGACCGCCCGAGTTGCCCATCATGCCAGGCAGGCCGTCAGGGCCACGGCGGCCCTTCTTCCCGCCGGGATTCGAGTGGCGAACCGTTCGTCGGTTCTCGCCATGACCAGTGGTGGTGGTCCAAGAGTGGGAGTGGCCACCTCGACCACCAGGCCCGCCTCGGCCACCCTGGCCGCCGACGCCACCGGAACCACCGAAGCCTCCCTTGGGAGTCGGGTGTGAGCGAAGAAGAAGGAAAAGATCGGCGTTGTTGTCGTCGGCGACGACAGTGATGGGCGCAGCGTTGCCACCATCACCACCCGGCCCACCGGGCCCGCCTTGTCCGCCCGGCCCACCTGGCCCACCGTTCGTACCACGTCTGTGGCGTGTGGCGTTGTGGCCTGGACGGCCACAGGCGCCGTCGGAGCCACGGCCGCCTTGGCCGCCTGCGCCGCCTGCGCCACCGTTGGCCTCGAGGTACATCGACGCGTCGGGGTGGCCAAACGGAAGCTGGACGTTCTGGCCAACCGAGACGATGTTGAGGTTGATGACACCATCATGCGGCGATCCGGAGAGATGGACTTCGATGGGCAGGGCATGCCCACCGGGCTGGCCAGGGGCGCCGGCCATGCCCTGGCATGAAAAGCCCTGACCGTCCATGCCCATCTGGCCTGGCGAACCGGGGCCGCCTGAGGTGACGATGCGTGCGTGGGTCTGTGACTGTGGCTGCGTGGCGCAGGTCTGGCGAAAGGCGTGCAGAGCGTCAGTGTTCTCGTCGATCGGACCGGCGAGGAGCAGCGGCGGGTAGTCGTGACCCGGCGGCGGAAGAGCGGCGAGCATAGCGTCGGTCTCGGGTGGTGGCGGCGGGGCCACGTGGGCGTCAGCCAGCGGCGGCGGCGGCATTTCGGACGGAAGCAGCGGACGGCCCGCGTCGGGAAAGGCAACGGGCGGGCGCATGTAGACCGGCGGCGGCTCGTCGGGCACTCGCGGGCGGGCAGCAAGGAAGAGGCGGAGGCCGAGAACGCGCATACGGAGAATGGCCCACAAGGCCTTGCCCGAGCGATGCGCTTGCGGTGGCGGCGCGTTGGGCGCAAAAGGATCCACATTGTCACCAAACGCCGGCGGTGGGGCAAACGAGTACGACGGCGGTGCGTCCATCGACGGATCGAGACCGAACCGGGCAGTTGGGTCTACCGCCGGATCAGTGTCGTCCGAGTCAGAGCTCGAGCCAAAGGCGCCGTCGTCATCGCCGAGAATGGGGGCTGACGATCCGGGCACATCGTCACCCGAGGTAGAGTCTCGGCCAGCCCAGTCGGCGTCGTCAAACGCATCGGTGTCGGACAGCGGCGGATGAGCGTAGTTGGGCGGAGGCATCGAGACGGGTTCCTGTGGCGGCGGGACGGGGCAAGAGTCTCCAGTGGGTGCTATCGGAGCTGCAGCATATGGATTGCCCCCAGCAGCCACGGCTGGTGCGCCATAAGGGTTGTGCGGAGGAGCGTTAGCCGGCGGTGGAGCACCATACGGGTTGCCAACAGCGGTTGCAGGTGCTGGAGGCGCTCCATACGGATTCGGCGGCGGGGTAGCAAAAGATGGAGGTGGCCCTGGAGGTGGGACGTTGGGGTCGAACGCCGGTGGAGGAGGGTCGGACATGGCTATGGAGAGGGATGTGGGTGATTTGTGGTAGCCAGGTGGTGTGGGCGGGGTGCAGGTTCCCAGGTTCCCTGAAGGACGAAACGAGGCGTCTGATGTGATGGCCGAGGCAGGGGATGAGATTGGCATATGAGGCGGGTGTACAATCGATGGCATACGTGCATCGGATGGTGGTGTGTGTGAGTGTGTGGGTGTGTGGAGGGTGGGTGTGCGGGTGAGCGGGTGGAGTCAGCGACGAGGTTCCCAGATGCGGGCCGCGTAGAGGCGGGCGCAGCGGGTGCACGGCTGGCCAATGTGTTCGAGGTGGAGCGCCATGTCGATCTCGTGGCGGATGACTTGGATTTCCTCGGGGATGGGCGAGGTCATGGAGGCAACCCAGTCGCAGCCGGCATGGCGGCATGCAAAGTTGGGGTCGATGTCGGCGGCGGAGAGATCGTCGAGCCAGATGCCGCCTGAAACAAGCTTGTGGCAGACCGCGCAGTCGGCGCCGGCCTCGGCAACGTGGACCCGGTGCTGGTCAAGGTCGACATTGTGAAGCTGGAGCTCAAAGAATTGCTCGGCGACGGACCTCGTCGGCGACGACTTCCACGAGCAGCCTGCGTGCGGGCACTCGTGCATGGAGCGCGAGGCGGTTGGTACGGCGTCGATGTAGGTGTGAGCAGCAGTGTGCTTGGCGTTGGCGTTGGCTCGAGATTTTTGAGCCTTGGCTCGCGACTTTTGAGCCTTGGCCATGGCCATGGCAAGCGCCTTCTGGCTCACGCCGGTCGCGTCTTGCGGCGACGAGCTGGGGGGAAGGGGCGGGTCGACCGGTGCCGGGTCAGCCGGCGGAGAGGCAGGAGCGATAGACGTGGCCTCGGTGGGTGGGAGCTCAGCAGATGGCGCCGCGGTTGAGACCGTCGATGTAGCCGAGGTCTTGGCCTTCTTCTTGGGTGCTTAGCGGGAGGATCCGGCGACGGCAGGGGCGATAGGGGCGGGAGGCCGGCTTTGGCGCGACGGTGGTTTTCGGCGTTGTAGATAGGGCCGGGAACCATGACGCTGCGGGAGGAAGTACCAAAGATGACATTGCGGCCGATGATCGACGGACCTGACTTGTTCGCGTTGTTTGAGCGGAGGTCGCTGGCGGACGCGCCGGCAGTGGCGGCCGAGGCGGCGTGGAGGAGCGGTGGGGGATCGGAGCGCTTGCGCTTGAGCGAGTTGGAGAGCGGGACAAATGCGGTCGACGGGGCAGTCGGCGTCGCGGTTGAGGCGGCCGAGGCGGTCGAGGCAAACGAGGTGACCGGCGACGAAAAGGTGATGGGCCCAGAAGCAGACGGCGGCACCGACGAGGTAGACGGCGGCGGCGGCTGGGAGTTGGGAGGAGCCGGGACCTGGGAGATGTGGTAGAGCGAGGCGATGGCGGGCTCGCCATTGGGCTCGACGATGCGGAGCGGAAGATCGTCCTCGCCGTGGAGCTTTGCATCGGCAACATCGTCGGGAGTGCAGACCGAGGCGGCGAAGACGGTAGCGCGGCCGAGGTGGACAAGCTCGTCCTCCCACTCGCCAGAGGCAACCAACTCGAGGCAGACAGCACATGAGATCGGATTCTGGCTCCGGACATGTTGGCCATGGACACGGAAAGAGCGCAGATGGCGGGATACGCCGGCCATGCGGCCCTGAAAGTCCGGGACCGAGGACGTCCATGTGCAGCCGTCGTGCGGACAGCGGAAGATATCGGCCGGCGGGACGAAGAAGGCCTCCCACAGGCCGGAATCGAGCATCTCGACGCAGGTGGGACAGGACTCTGGGCAGATGCGCTCATGTAGATTGGCGGAGATGACATGGTCCATGAACTGTCGCTCTGACGCAGTCTCGGTCGTGTAGTTGCAACCGGTGTGTGGACATGACCGCTTCCCTTTCTTTGCCGTGTACTTGCTCGCCAGCTCGGCCACGGTTTGCATGACGAGGGGAGGGGGGGGGGGGGGGGCGTGTGTGTGTGTGTGTGGAGGGGGAGATGAGAGTGAGTGTGCGGGCGTTGTTGGGGAGTGATCAGTGAGGGTGAGGTGGTCAAGGGTGTGGCTTGTCGTGGGGAGGGGGGGAGAGGGTTGTGTGTGGTGGTGTGTTGTGGCGGAGGCGGTGGGTGGTGGTACACACGACTCTGGTGGTGGTTGTGGTTGCTGTTGTGGCTGTGGTTGCGGTCATTGACATGGGCGGGCTTTCTAGGTACAGACGCGCGGGCAGAGTGTGTATGATGGCAGTGGTAGTGTTTGTGGTGGTGGCTGGTCTGCTTGCTACGGGTGGCGAGGGCAAGGCGGCCAAGAAGGTACCGGTCTCGGCCGAAGAGGCGCTTGGCAAGCTGCATGAACTGGCGGAGCGGGCAAAGGCGTCTGCGGACGGCACAGTGAGCCTCAGCGCGCACGAGTATCGCGAGTATGTGCACGCGACACCACGGCTGTACTCTGTGGTGCTGATGTTCACGGTGGCGAGTCCCGGGCGCGGATGCAAGCCGTGCGCCATCATGTGGGAGCCGTACACCGAGGCGGCGTCGGGCTTTGCGCGGCACCATCTCGACGAGAGCGTGGCAGGCGTGGAGGCGGCGATGGTGAACGGGACGGCGGAGGATGTGAGCGATGCAGAGCTGCCTGTGTTCTTTGGAGTGATCGACTACGACAAGGCCAACGGGGCGGCGATCTTCAAGGCTGTGCAGGTCTCTGGTACGCCTTACATTGCGTTTGTGCCGCCAGCGCGGGCACTGGTCAAGTCGAGCAAGGCGCCGTCGATCGGGTCGAGCAAGGCGTGGCGAAAGCGGTGGACCAAAGACAACGAGTTCAACCTGCGGCAAATGTCGTCGGACACAACGGTCTTTCTGCAGTTTATTACCCGGCAGTGTGGGCTCGAGATTGACGTCTCACGGCCATTGCCGCTGTTTCGGATTGTGTTTGCAGTGGCCGGGACGGTGGGCTCGCTGTGGGCGGCGCAGGACAAGATCAACGCGATTGTGCCGTTTCGGCTTCTGTTCTTTGGCGCGTTTCTCTGCGGCGTGGTGTACTGCTACTCGGGTGCCATGTTCTGCACCATCCGGTCGGCGCCGTGGACGCAGGCTGGGAAGGACGGCGAAATGTGGTTCTACCCAGCGCAGCGGCACCAGCTCGGCAAGGAGGCGATGGTGGTGGGCGGATTGTACGCGACGGCCGTTGCCGGCATCCTGGTTCTCCTCCGCGGAGTGCCGCGGCTTGCAGCAGCAAACTACGGCACGCTTGTCATGATCGTGCCGACGGTGGTCGGATGCTTTGCACTTTGGCTCGCGCTCGGCTACATCTCGGTGCTGTTCACGGCCAAGATGGGCGGCGGGTATCCGCTACCGCTGACCAACTTTGCGGCTCTGCTCCCGCGGTCATGGGGATATTTCAACAAGTACGGATAGCGCGCAGTGAATGACAACGAAACCTACAGGACGCGCACGAGCCGTGTGTGTGTGTGTGTGTGTGTGTATGTGAGCATTACGACGAAGTCGGCGAGGGCGCGGCCGAGTTCACGGTCGACGACGACTGCTGCGGGACAACCGAGACAACGGTCTCCTCCCACTCGATGCCCTCCTTGGCGAGGCCTTCGAGAATGGGGTTGTAGAGACGGGGGGTGATGGGGATCTGGATGCCGGTCAGGTCGTTAAACTCGCCCTGGAGGATGAGGTCGATGGCGATGGCGACCGGGAGAGCGACGGTGCGGGCCATAGCGGAGCCACCATCGGGCTGCTTGCCGACCGAGATGAGGCGCGAGGAGATGTGCTCCTTCCGGCCGTCGTCGTACTCGACCTTGAACTGGTGGAGCATGACGATGCAGTCCTGCTCGCCTGGCCCGTACTGCATACGCTCCTCACAGAGGGCGGAGAGGGCGTCGAGCGGGGTGTTGCCGGCAGGCGGAATGGGCTTGGACGCGTCAAACAGCCCAAGCCAAGCCATCTTCTTGACGATGACCGAGTCCTTCTCGAGGCCGAGGACGCCGGCAACCGAGCCGGCCGGGTCGGCGGCGTCGAACGGGCCACCCTTGGCGGTCACCAGCATCTCGACAAGCTCCGGGTACGGCTTGCCAGGCAGCGAGTTGTCTTCCTCGAGCGACATGAGGCCGAGGTCGACCATCTTCTTGATTGTGGCGCACCAGCCCGGGTAGCGGAAGGTGCCGCGGACCAGGTCCTGGATGCCGGTCAGGCCGTAGATCTCCTCGTACTGGGTCGAGTCGCGGTTCGGGTAGCCCTCGAGCGGGCCAAAGCCGGGCACGTGCATGTCCTCGTACGAGTCGAAGAGGTCTTCGCCGGGAATGGTCACCTCTTCGCCGTCCTTCTTGAACTTGGCCGTGTTGCGGCCGGCGAGCAGGACGCCGCGTGGCGCCCAAGAGAGCTTGTAGCCCATGGGATTGTCGTTAAAGTGCGGAGCAGGGAGGCCGCCACAGTACGACGAGAACGACTTGATGTAGCCGCCCTTGGACTGGACCTCGTGCACAATCTTCATGGCCGACGCGTGGTCAGTGCCCGGGTCGACGCCGCACTCGTTGAGGAGAATGATGCCTGCGTCCTTGGCATCGGCTTCCAGCTCGCGCATGGCGTCCGACACGTACGACGTCGTGGCAAAGTGCTTTTTGTGGGCAATAGCGACCTTGGCAGCCTTGACGTGGTAGATGTACGGGAGCATCGAGACAACAAGGTCGACGTCGGGCACCAGCTCGTGCAGGCGGGCCTCGGCAGAGTCGTGGGTGATGTCGAGCTCGAGAGCCTCGACATTGTCGAGACCAGCAATCATCTTCTCGGCGCGCTCCAGAGTCCGCGACGCAACTGATATCCAGCCATGGGTGAGTGTTGGTGGGGGCGGGTGCTGCGTGTCGGCGGTGGGGGCGGTACCATCCCACCGGCCATCCACAAAACGGGGAAACAGTGTCAGGCAGAGACAGGAGGGGGGATAGGGAAGAGGAATAGGAGCAAGGATCAAGAGGAAGGGGTGGGGAGGACATACCCTTGACGCCGTAACCATGCTGCGAGAGATAGACCACGAGGGGGCCGGCACAGAATCCAGAACCAAGAACGAGCACATGCTGCGTTGGCGCTGCCATGATGAGTGGTGAAGCGAGGTGTGGCGACACGTCGATGACGATGACGATGACTTGGGGGCGAGGACAGGGGGTGCTGGGCACCTCTCGCTGGTGGTGGTTGTGGGTGGGAATGACGTCGATCAGGAGGTTTGTGGCGGATGACTTGTTCAAGTTCAACAACATCAATCTGGACTCGTTGACCGAGAACGTAGGTTGGTGTGTGGGTGTGTGGGTGGGGGGGAGGGGGGGGAGGGAGGGAGGGAGGGGGGGGGTGCGTGTGAACGTGTATGTGCATCTGTGCGTGTGTGTATGCTTATGTGTGGGTCTCTATGTGTAATGTGTACGCGTGTCTCTGTATGTATGCGTGTCTCTGTATGTATGCGGGTCTCTCTGTGTATGCCGGTCTCTCTGTGTGTGTGTATCTCTGGGTGCGTGTGGTCTTGGTCGCGGTCGGACAGTACAACATCGGGTTCTACTTTCACTACCTCTCGCGTTGGCCCGACTTCTCGGCAGTGGCCGAGGACGCGTCGGGGAAGCAAATGGGATACGTGATCGGCAAGGCCGAGGGTCGAGGCGAGGACTGGCACGGCCATGTGACGGCGGTGACGGTCGCGCCCGAGTACCGGCGGATCGGGCTCGCGTCCAAGCTCATGGACTGGCTGGAGGAGGTGTCGGAGAAGCAGTACGACGGGTACTTTGTCGATCTCTTTGTCCGCAAGACCAACACTGTGGCGATTGGCATGTACGAGCGTCTTGGGTACGTCATCTACCGACGAGTGCTCGGGTACTACGGCGACAGCGAAGACGCGTATGACATGCGCAAGGCGTTGAGACGAGATCCAGAGAAGAAGTCGATGGTGCCGCTCGACAGGCCGGTGCTCCCGGAAGAGTGTGTCTTTTGATTTAGGTGCCGCTATCACAGTCGGCGGGGCGGTTGGCAAGGTAGCGGAAGAGGGTCAAGGACAACAAAGAGTACAGTTAGCGCAGGAGATGCAGTTATTGCGTTGCCGACGTCGACCACGAGACGCTCTCGACAGACGGTGGGGTGGTGAGCGACGGCGAGCCGGATGGAAACTTTTCGTCAAACAGCAGGGAGAGCTTGGCGGCCGAGACGGCGACGTCGCTGCGCGAGTAGCCGATGCGGACCTGGAACCGCGGGGCCCAGTCGGGGGTGATGCCGAGCTTGTTGCGGGCAACCAGGAGCGCGGCCGACGCAGTCATCGATGGCATGCAGTCGAGGAAAGCCATGCTGAGCAGACAGATTTCGGCGAGAATAGTGTGGGAGACCTTGCGCAGCGCACGCGAGTACTGCGCGGCCGACGCCGGTGTCAGCTGCAGGCCATGAATCGAGTCCTCGTCGGGGCAGACGCCAATGGAGGCAAAGTAGCCCCAGAAGAAGAGCGGCGTGACAACGCGCAGCTTCCAGCTGAGCGTGTGCAGGATGTTGCCCTCCATGGCTAGGATGGCGTCCGGCGTGTACTGGTAGCCTGCGAGCTGGTTGAGAGTCTCGAGGCTCGGCACCTTCTTCGACTCGAACATCTTGCCAGCCACAAGCATGCAGGTCAGCGCCACCAGCTGGACGCGCCGCTTCGAGACATGGCAGGCGTGGAGGACCTGGTCAAAGTAGCGGACAGTGGCAAAGACGGCCTCGGAGCCGTAGCCCAGCAGCGAGTTCATCAGCGGCACCATCCACTCGACGACCGACTCGCGGTAGCGGGCAACACGCCCAGTGAGGACCACGAGCTCGTGACCATCCTGCTCACGATCGATAGCCATCACATACGCGTCGTAGTCCATGGCCTCGTCAAGACCCCACTCCATGCCTGCGGCAGCCAGCGTGCGAACTGGCACGGCGCCGTCATCGGTACGCGGCGGTGGGCTGCCATGGAGTGCCGGACGCGCCGAGGGCTCGTTTGCAACGGGCAGCTGTGGCGCAAGTTGCTGCGGCGACATCGTTGACGACAGTGTCTCGTCCGCATACAGCGCAGCGCCTGGAGACTCGGGGTGGGCGGCCATTGCGGGAAAGCGGAGGCGGGAGTCGGATTTGGCGGGAAGGACCAATAGATTTGTTCGCGCACTTTTGGACTGACGGTGTAGCAGGGCTCGTCACACTCACACGCCGTGTGGGCACCGACGGCTTGAACGAGTACGGACGTAGCCACGCAACAAAACGTGTCTATGCCGCCTCTGTGGTCCCTGGCCTCCCCTCCTCTCGACCTGAAAGTGGTCAGTAGCGTCAAGTTGTCGTCGCCACGCTTGCTGCCGTCCCGACGACGTCGTGGCGGCTGTGGTGCCAAGCAGCAAAGTCGTCATCGTCACGGAGACATCATTTGGATATTTCCCGCTCTCACGTTTGCCTGCATCTAGGAGAGGCGGCAGCAGCTACGGGGAACGGGTGAGCACTCGACGCGACGGCCGCCAGCTGGTGTGAGTGCGAGGGCCGGCATGATCCACGACGACGATCCGAGTGGCAAGCGGAGGAGGAGAAACGGGTCGGGAGTGCCGCGGTGGCTCAAGGTTGTTGTGGTTCTTGCACTGGCGGCTGCCGTCGGCTACGGGTGCGGACTATGGTCGGGTGCGTGTGGGCTCGAGGCGGAGACGCCGGCAGCCGGGCAGGGGAGCCACAAGGCGCCGCTACCTCCGGGCAGGGGGTGGGACACCAAGCCGGGGGGCCCACCCGGCGGGGTGGTGGCCGCTATGCCCAAGGGTGGGACAACGGCACGGCCGCTCGGCGCACCGGGAGGTGGCCCGGCGGGAGCTGCCGGTATGCCCGGCAACGCAGGCACGGCGACAGGAGGCAAAACGCTCATTCTCCTCGTCATCTCGGACAATGTGTACCAAGACTGGCAGTCTCGAGTCTTCCACTACCACATGAAGAAGCTCCTGACGCCGGATCAAAAGCTGGTGACGCTTATCTCGTCGCCGCAGCCGGTAGACGTGGCGGGCAAGTGCGCGAAGAAGCATAACAACTGCCCACTCTTCCCGACGGGCGACTACACCAAGGCGGCGAACGGCGACGCTTTTGTGGTGTACAACCGAGCGCACGCTATTCGCGAGTACATGGATGATTTTGTGGCTCGGCGGGCGCGCGGGATCGACGCTGAGTACACCAACGTGGTCATTGTAGAGCCGGACATGATCCCGCTCAAGCCGTTTGACGTTGTGGCGCCGCGCGGCACGGTGTACGGGCACTCGTACTTTTACATGGAGCGCGGGTATGGCGGCATCAACAACAGCCAGCTCATCGAGTACTGCTCGTTCCGGCCGGACGATGTGGCACCGATCGGGGTGCCGTACGTGCTCCACGTCGACGACCTCATTGCGCTCCTTCCGCTGTGGATCGAGAAGACGGTCAAGATGCGGCTGCCGCAGCCGTGGCTCGCCTCGCACGAGCGGTCGTGGATTGCTGACATGTGGGCCTTTGCCTGCGCCGCCGCAGACCTGCACCTGACCTCTGTGGCGTCGCCGACCTTTGGCCCCGAGACTGCCATCGACGCCGAGCCCGGCGACGACTCGATGGTCATCCACTACACGTACGGCTACCGTTTCCCACTTCCCGACGGCTCCAAGTTTGAGTTTGAGAAGCGGTCGTGGACGGTCGAGGCGCCGACGCCGCGTCCCTACCCGGAGCCGCCTGCTGACCAAGCAAACAAGCTGGAGAAGATCCACATGGCGGCGCTCAACGAGGCGCTTGTGGCTATCTTTGGACCGAGCGAGTAGAGATGGTATGGTTTAAGGTGACAGTCAGCGGCGGCGCTGGCGGCGCTGACGGCGCTGGGCCTCCATAAAATGGCGGTCGGCCATACGGCGCATTGACTCACGAGTCGGGACAAACTCGTCGTCCATGACATCATCCCGGGCGTCGGCGTCGTCAGAGGCCTCGGAGAGGTCAGACTCGTCGTCGAGGGCAATGGCAACGCGCAGGTTGTCGGGCGGGAGCTGGGCCTCTTGGCGCGAGGCGAGCTTGGTCTCGAGAGCGCGGATGTCGTCGTCGGCATCCATGACCATATCGCCATCCTCGACCGCATCGAGGAGCTTGAGGACCTTGGCCTCGGCAATGGCGAGAGTCTCGACGACTGTGTCGTCAGCCATAGGTGGCGTCTTGGCAATGGTGGGGAACTTGTACTCGGCGAGCATGTCGGCGAGATGGCCGACGCCCGACTTTGCCTCGAGCAGCGCGTCGGCAATGAGATTAAACTTGGTCCGGTTCCGCTCCATCTTTGCAGTTGACTCGGCAAGGTTGGCCTCAAACTCAGCAACCGACTCGGCAGTCCCGCGATCGCCGGTCCCAGCAAACCGCAGCTCCTCATACAGCGACGCGAGCTTGGTTTTCTCGTGGCGGAGCTCGTCAAGTCGGGCCTCGGCCTGCTTCTTGGACGCCTCCAGCGACTTGTGGGTCGCCTCCTGTGTGAGAAACTTCTTGATGACTTCGTTGACGTCAGCGACGCCGGTCGCCTCCTTGATCTGACGGAAGGCATCTTCGTAGGTAGCAATCTTGCGCTCCTGCTCTTCGAGCAGGCGTGCGTCGGCCGCAGCCTGATCTGCGTTCTCTGACTCCGAGTCGGACGATGCAGCCTCGAGCTCAATCTGGCGCTGGCGGCGCTCCAGGGCAGCCATCTTCTCCTCCTTGGCATTGACCAGCTCGACCTTGTCCTGCTTCTCACGCTCCTTGGCGGCGCGCTCGGCCTCGATCATCGACTCGAACCGCTCGAGCTCGGACTTGGCGACGTCGCGGGCGTGGACTGCGTCGCGCTGCATCATAATCAGCTCACCAAGATCTTGTTCCTTGGTCTCGAGCGTTCGCTCGATGGCAGCCAGCTGGTTGTCAAAGCCGAGGCGCTCCTCCTCGAGTCGCTGCTTGATCTGCTCGTAGGTCTTGCGGATGGACATGGCCTCGTTGTACTTGATCATGGCCTTGTCAAGCCGGTTCTCCAGCCGGCGAATGGCCTGCGACTCGCTCGAGTCGTGGTTGAGCGCACGTGCCGCCTCGCGGGACATGACCTCCAGTCGGTCCTTGAGCGACTCGAGGCGTGAGTCCATGCGGTCGGCTTCTGCGTGCTTGAGATCGTGCCGCTTGCGGAGCGCAGCCTGGGCCTTGTCAGCGCGCTTGACCTCTTCCTTGAGGCTTTGAGTCATCGAGTAATTGTCCTCAAGATTGCGCACGCGGCCAAGGTCGTCGCGGAGCTTCTTGTTCTCGGCCCGCAGCGCCTTGATCGTTTCCGAGTTGTGGCTCTGGGTCCACATAGCAGCCTCGACATAGGCCTTCAGGTCGCCCTCTGTTCACACCATTCGAGAAACAAGAAGACATGGGCAGTTCATGCATGAGTTGAGGGACGGGAGGTCGGGGAGGGGGGGGAAGCTTGGGTGTAGGGGGAGGGGAGGGGCAGGGGAGGCAGCAACGGTTGAAATTTGGTCAGCCGCCGCAAGGCGGTTGGTTGGACGACGCAGGGATGAGGTGGAGGGGAGGAGGGGGGGG